CACGGCACCCAAAACATTGACACTTAAATCCATCCGCACGCCCCAAGCACATCCAAGCACATTGTACGTGTGCATGCGTGCCTGATGTATGTATGTATGTATGTATGCATGTATGTATGTATGAATGTATGAATGTATGAATGTATGAATGTGTGATTGTATGTATTATTATTATCATATGTACGTATTCGCGTACGTACGTACGTACGTACGTACGTACGTACGTATGTATGTATGTATGTATGTATGTATATGTATGTATGTATGTATGCATGTATCAGTATTCGTGCAGTATGTATTTGCGTACGTCTGTATGTATGTGTGTGTATGTAATTGTCTTTATGCGCATATCAGCTTACGCCTCTTGCATGCATGCATAATCATGTTATAAACAGCCATCGTGTTTATCAGCACGACAAACGACAAGTAAACAACCAGATTGAACAAACCAACACATCATGCCAATAATCTGTGACAAGGCGACGCCAACGTCAAATAGTTCACGAAGCATCCGCAAACAGAAGGTTAACTTGCGCAAGTATAAGCATCACGAGCCCGATCGAAGGACGTACGAAAGTCCAAAAGCTCCGCATGCACAAGTGCAGGCCCCAGGATCGACAAGGCTTAAAACATAAACCTAAGCACACACATACATACACACATACGTACATACATACATACACACATCCATGCAGTACCACAACACAGTATAGCACAAGACAGTACAATGCTATATGCTACGGTACATGGCAAGACAATGCAATATACACGCACATATACATACCATTCATTACGCACGCATACATATGTATGTATTATGTTATGTTATGTTATGTTATGTTATGTTATGTTATGTTATGTTATGTTATGTTATGTTATGTTCTGTTATGTTATGTTATGCTATGCTATGCTATGCTATGTTATGTTATGTTATGTTATGTTATGTTATGTTATGTTATGTTTCGTTATGTTATGTTATGTTCTGTTCTGTTCTGTTATGTTATGTTATGTTATGTTATGTTATGTTATGCTATGTTATGTTATGTTATGTTATGTTATGTTATGTTATGTTATGTTATGTTATGTTTGTATGTATGTATGTATGTATGTATGTATTGTACGTACGTACGTACGTATGTATGTAATTGTATGTATGTAATTGTATGTATGTATGTACGCGCAGGTTTGTTTGTGTGTGCGTATGTATGCCAGTGCGTATGTACTCATGTATGTGTATGCATGGTGCGTGCATACATACATACATACTTGTATATACGTGTATATCTGTATATATATATACACATATTACACACCTATAAATATGCATATACATGCATAGACGTATATAGATATATGTAGGTTCAAATATTCATACATGTATATAGATATATACATATATAAATATACATATATATATATATATACACATACATACACATACTTACGTATGCCTACATATACGCACACACATGCAATCACGCACGCATGCGCATGCACCGATGTGTGTGAAGCTATGCATGTATGCGTGCTGCAAGGAGCAGCTTCTGGAGGTGTGTGCAACCGCCTATGCCTCAGTAATGGTTGAGTGCACATTGCTGCTGCTGTTGTTCGGGCGGTTGTGGTGTGTGGTGCTGGCGGTGGTGTTGGAGATAGCGGTGCTAGTCGTGGGAAGGTTGGCCGTGGCGGTTGGTGGCGCCGGTGGTATTGGTGGCGGTGTGGTGGTAGGTGTGTCCGCATCGTCGTCGTCATCATCGTCAGTGGGAGTACGAGCAATATGTAGGCCCAATGTAGACAGGTCCAATACGTGATTGCCCGCAGATAGCGGTGACAGCATACTGTGATTGCCTTTCGTGTGCTTTACTCGGTCTCGCAAGCATGGGCAGCCAAGCAAGGCATCTTGTGAGCTTCCGAAGCCGAAACGCACAGGTGATGAGGCCAGAGCAGACAATCAGAACCTTCCACCTACACCAGGATTTTACCCAACATGAGCCTTGTAGATCTTGCTTGAGGCCTGCAAAGACGAGACTATTCGGCTGTTCCCGTACCGCTACGGCGATCCTGACAAGCTGCTGTTCGTCGCTCGCTGAGCTTTTGCACGTCCGGTTTATGGATTCAGGCTTAGTGACATGCAAAAGAATTGCCGGTTGCCGAAGGCAATGCTGACTAGCCTTGTCGGAATGAGGCTTGTACACGAGGGTTGTACTTCTGTAGTTTCGCCACAGGAAAATAAACCCGTAAACCCTGAATCCTCGAGGCTTGCCACGAAGGGAGGCGCTTTTTGTCGGAGAAGCCGGGGCCCTAGCTGAATGAAGCACGCTGCCAACTTGCAAGTATGGTCACAACCACGAAGTCCTCCTCCGTTGCTGTTGCCGTTGTCGTTGTCGTTGTCGTTGTTCTTGTTGTTCTTGATGTTCTTGTTATTGTTATTGTGTTTGTTATTGCTGTTGCTCGTGGTTTTTGATATTGCTCTTGTTATTGTTCGTGTGGTTGTGGCTGTGGCTGTGGTCGTGGTCGTGGTTATGTTTGTTGTGGGTTGTGGTTGTGGGTTGTGGTTGTTGTTGTTGTTGTTGTTGTTGTTGTTGCTGTTGCTGTTGCTGTTGCCGTTGCTCTTGGTGGTGGTGCTGCTGCCGCTGCTGCTCCGGCTGTTGTTCTTGTTCCTTTTATTGTGTTGATGTTGCTGTGGTGGTGGTGGTGGTGGTGGTGGTGGTGGTGGTGGTGGTGGTGGTGGTGGTCTGCATCTGGGCTGCAGCTGTGCAAGCCTCAGGCAAGAGCTGGGTTTCGCCCATGGGTTGTTGTGGGGAGTGCCGTGCGGATATGTACAAAAATCTGAAGGAAAGTGGCTGAGATCCCGTGCTGTCACTGCATCATCATAACAGCATCACCATTGCCATAGCCTGTTACAGCCAGCATGCCTGGTCACGTGGCAAGGTATACTCAAGGCTGGTTTTGCGACATATCGATGCACCCGGGCCGCACGGTTGAGAGTTGAAAGTGCGAAGTCTCCGTGCCTAAGTTCTAACTTGTTCAATCTTCATCGCTGAACCTTGAACCCTGAACTCAAGTTTGGGCAGGAAAAACAGGAGCTCTCAAAGCAACTGCTTAATTCGCATTCTTATCATGTTCTCTCGGCTTTGGTATCTCGTTTTGGGAGCTGAAGCCAGCATATTAGGGCTCAAAGTAGCCTGTAATACCTTCCCTTTGTAGTCCCGAATTTTTTTACTGGCTGGATTGAAAGCCCAATTGGAAGCCCCTCCTCGTCCACGTGCCATAAGAGAATAGGGTTCCACAAATCCCAAGACCCCCGTTCCAATTGCAATGATTACGGCCCCCAATGTAGGGGCCTTAATAATTACCCATACTATTTTGAGGGTTCCTTATTACAATTATGGTATAATGGGCCCCAAAATCTAATTTCCTAAATATGAATGGCCCTATATTACGGCCCCTATACATGTCCCAAGGATCTCCCACCCCTTGATGGTTGATGCCTACAACAAGTCCCACACGCTGGCTCAAGAGGCGGGCTTATGGGATCCTTCGATGGCGGACCTGCTTTTGCAACTCCTGCGAGGATCATCTGAGGCAACTTCCATGCCCCCACACAGCAATTAACGAGATGGGCGAGCACACACGCGCAAGCACGAAGAGGAAGTAAGGTCACGAGCAGAACTGAGTTATGTATCTTGACGTGGCAGGACAAGCAGTCCATCCAAGCCTACGACTCCTGGGCCTCTCGTCTCAAGTTTCTACGCGATGTAGCTGGGCTTGACGGAGAACACTGCACATGAGAATTCGTCTTTAGTGCTCCTCCTTTGACCCAAACACGTCAGATGGTTGGATTTGCGATTATGAGTGCAAGGTCCGCCCAAGCTCCAGGCTTTGCAATCAGGCATTGCTTCAACCAACGAGCACTGGATCCGTTCTTGGCAGCCCACTTTGATTATTTTCAACATGGGGGGTTTCCGAGAATAGGGGACCCTAATATAGTACCCTAAATAATGGGATCCTTACTATAAGGACCCCAAAATAAGGTACCCCTTAGTTTCGGAAACTCCCACATCTTTACGTGTCATGTTCACATTACACTGCAGCTGCCTCGCTGTCTCTCTGACCCTCTCTCCCTTGATTTCTCTTTCTCGAACCCTTTTCCCTGTAAAAAACGTAGAGAGTCTTTTGCACCAAAAAGAGCATATATACATATAGACATTATTCTCAACTATATGGGTATCCACCGAAGCATCCCGGGCGGAAGAAAGAACTCCTTCAGCCTCTGCAGCCTACTTGGAGGTTCATGGGACTTAGTATCTAGGCTTATAAATAAGGTAACTATACTTATAAGTACTTATAACCCCAATTAGGGTACTTATAACTGTACTTATTAAGTCCCATGAACCTCCAAGTAGCGGAGGTCTTCGGCGCTGACTCCGCTGGCCGGCTCTACCTCTTCCCGCAGAGCGACTCCCAGGTCTGGGTGAAGCCTCCCGAAAACCCTACCTTAACCTACCAAAACCTACTTTTTTGTAGGGTCCCTATAAATTCCATATTAGGGTTTATAATAGGAACCTACAAAAAAGCAGGGTTTGGTAGTTTAAGGTAACCCTCCAGGTACCTACTTTTTAGGGCCTTATAGGGGCTCTAGTACCCTATATAGTAGGTAACTGGGGGGTTAGGGGAAACTCTCGATCGCACAGTTTAGGCAGAGAAGTCTGGGACTTTTCTCTTCGAAGTGCAGAGAGAAACAAAAGACTTCCATCAAGAACGTCGTCTTGAGCGCATCTGCCACACAGGTGCCGCCATGTGTTCGACGCTTATCTGCAACCAGTGGTTCTCCATCGAGTGAGGCCCAAACTCCAGCACCGCAACAAGCTAGGACTTGAGGCAGCTTTGCTCTCCAGGCCCGTTCAAGTGTGAAGCCCAACAGCATCGGAAGGCCTCAATCGACATGCCCAGCATGGCAAGCACGGATCCTCTTGTATGGATGTACTCCGATTTCCTGTGTTTTACGCTTTGGCGTAGGAGTCCAGATAACAAGAGTTTACTCGTATGCTCATGTGCTCATAGAGGCAAGCGCGACAAAGCCGTATGTCGCCAAACTACAAACTTGGCAGGGTGGCAAATGTGTGGGAATCGTTCAAAGCGCTAGGCTTTCCGCGCCCCCCCCCACCCCCCGCCCCAACCGAACACCATGTTAGACCCTCAACCCGACATTCGCCTGCCTAAAGACCGTCCGAGCTTAGTGCTTCCTGCAATTGCCCAAAAGCCTGCGTCTAAAACCCCGAACTGCCCCATCCGCTGTCTCCGAATCTCATGAGGGAGCTCCCGGCTCCACAACCTCTCCGTGTTGGATGCGGCCGTGGACTGGACCCGCCGGCATTTGCTTTTGAGATCCTGTGGAAACCTTCAGGTTTGGGGCTCTAGTGTTGGAGGCAGCTTCGGTCCCTGTAACCAACGAGGGAATCCTCCAATGCAGCAGTGTAAGAGGACCCGGGCAGCTTCGGGCCCATGTGTTTTATTTTCGATCATTGTTGGAGTCACTTCACGGAGTGTCGCGTATGAAGGCTCCAGTCACCTCATTCAGCATCGTGCAATGCGCACTGTGCTGGGCTTTTCGTTCGGGGGCCTGGAGCCACTGAAGGGACCAAAGCCAACAGCTAGTTGGAGCCAGGAGCGCCATGCGTTCCGTGTCGGTCGGCATGGAAGGGACTATGAACTTCTACAATCTTGGGAGCCTCTGAATGCAGTATCAGAGTGGGCGGCTCTTTCGTCTCATCCGGAAGCGCACAGGAGATGACAGCGAAGGGGAAGTCACAGCCTTGTGGATACGGAAGAATGAAGGAAGAGGCTCTCCGCGTCAGCTCTCAGCTAACAGTACACGACGCTGGCAAGTGGAAGGTGCAGGCCTTGGTATGTTGTCCACTAAGGAATGACGCGGTGGAGCACACGCTGCATGTTGCGGCTGCGTCTCGGATGCATAGCCTTCGTGATGTGCCGTCCAGTCTGAGCTCCATTGCATTGGGGAAGCGTTGCGGCTTCCGCCTTGAACGACAGGGTCGAAGACGATGTGAGCACGCTCAGCTCCAGACAGCGAATCTGGGAAGCCCGAACATCCCAAAATTCCAAGCTTCAAACTTCAGCCCCCCCCCCCATAAAAACTCGAAGCTCCCAAAACCAGAAATCCGGAAAAAGCTCTGAACCCTAAAGCCTGGAACCCGAAGCCCTGACCTTAGACCCTACAGTCCTCAAAATGCTAAACCTCCTCCCGGCCCTTCCCGAAAAAGACACACAACTCAAGCCCTGAATCCTGAGCCCTAAACCCTATAAATCCTGAGCCCTAAACCCAAAAAATCCTGAACCCGAAACCCCAAAAAAATCCTGAGCAGTAGACCCTTGCCTTGAGGCCTGCAGCCTGTCTGCGTCCAAGGACTTCTGGAGCGCCTTGGATGCGGACTTCGAACTGGAGCTCCGGCTGCAGAGTTTCAGAAGGGGTTTAGGGTTTAGGGGTTTAGGGGTTTAGGGTTTAGGGTTTAGGGGTTTAGGGTTTAGGGATGTCTTGGGCTTCTTCAGGTAACTGGGGCTCCGGCTGCAGAGTTTGAGAAGGGGATGTCTTGGGCTTCTTGAGGTTTAGCCTGAAGAGTGTTAAAGGTGATGTCTGAGGTTTCTTAGGGTTTTTGGGTTGCACTCGCAGGATCTGCAGGGCTGAAGACGTTAGGGTTGGTAGGCCTTCAGGGTTTTGGGCTGCTAGGGTTTTCAGGGTTACGGGCTTTCCAGCTTGAGGGTTTAGGGCTCAGTCTTCATGATTAGAACAGGGTTCTTGGGCCCATCATACTATAATTATAAGAAGGAACCCCCAAAATACTAGAATTATACTAAGGAGCCCCCAAAATGATATTAGGTAATATTTAAGGTTTTTGAATTTCGGTGTTTTTGGGCGTTGGCATGCTGGAGCTCTTAGGGCCGAACCATGGCAGAGTTCGTGAAGTATAGTTTACTGGGTTCTTGTTAAGGGATTTAATTTAAGTTACCATACTGGGGATCTATAGTAAATAATATGGTTTCCTTATTATGGTAACTTAAATTAAATCCCTTAACAAGAACCCAGTTTAGGACATCTTGATGTGGGTAGTTACCCTTATAGGAGCCTTATAGAAGGTCTATAGAAGCCCTATATACCCTAAGCTCCCCACCTGTAGTTTCCTTTAAGAGAAGTTGACGGAGTTCTGGGGTCAAGGCTCGTAAGTCTGGAGCTCCACGTGGGTAAGGTGAGTACGAGTTGCGATTTGCCGGTCCGTGTGGGTTAGGGTTTAGGGGGTTAGGGGTTTAGGGGTTTAGGGTTTACGGGTTCATTTTCTATCCATAAATTCGGTAGGTGCCTTGGTCGCGCGGAGGGCTTGTCAAAGAATCAGCCTTCGCGGATTCTCCCACGTAAGCAGAGAGCACAGACAAAAGAAATAATAGACATACTACGCATACTACTACTACTACTACTACTACTACTACTACTACTACCTCTACTTCTACTTCTACTTCTACTTCTACTTCTTCTACTACTACTACTACTACTACTGCTAC